CATCATTCTGTGATTCTGTGATTCTGTGACAATAAAAGCCATGTAATGCATAGCCTGGTGTAAAAGGCCATTTGCTAAACAATAAAAGCCATGTAACGCATAGCCTGGTGTAAAAGGCCATTTGCTAAAACCAACACCTTGGCAAGTCTTCAGAATCCTAGATGAAATGGGGATTTGGGTGGGGTTTTTATCTCTTGCTTACCTGAATTAGAAATACCTGAACAGAGTGGTCCTCTTGGTCTGTTGCAGTGAAGCACAGGCTCTTTCTGTTTGCTCTTTTTATAACCATTTGATCCCAGAGTCGGGTGTTGAGAATCAGTCTCAAGCTCCCTTGATTTCGCATAACTAAAATAAGAAGGTTTATATGATAAGACATTGGAACCATCTTCATTTTTACTGCATCAGTTTTTTCTACCACTTCTATACAACTAATATTTTCAGAAATTCCTTTTTAAAATTTGGTCTAAAACCTGACATGGTGAGATTTTTTTTTTAAATAACAGAACATATCAGTTTCTTTCAATACATCTGTCATCATACAAAGCAAATAATCTGCTGAAACTGTGCAATACAGTACAAAAAATGACAGCACAGTAAAAACAGCATTCCAGAAGTGACTTGAAACAGCGCTCCTGGAAAAGCAGACTCAACAAAGAGCAAACTGGTGACTGAGCTAAAGATACATTGCAGTAGAAATACACAGAACCTAACAATGTATGCAAGTACATTGTGTACAAACTGAGTGAAAAGTGCCCAGTGCCTCGGTCCATAATGTAGCTAACTTTGTCAGGCAATGTTAAAAAGATTCTCAGCAACTTGACTTAAATAGAACTAGCTACTCAATTTTAAATGTTCTGAAATAAACTTATTCTGGCCAGCAATAGTGCAAGTTGCATTATTTTGTTATTTAATTCTTACTTAGCCTTGACTGCAACATTCCACACTTATTGCTAGAAGTGTCATTAAGCCTCAGAGATCCTGCGCCTCTTTCAATCCAGGTTAAAGAAAGCTTATTAAATATGAACAGCTTGCAGTTGATCTGAAAGAGAAATACACAATGGAAATTGTCAGCCAATGTTAATTTTATTTGTTCTAAAACTTGATGTTTTTAAGCCTTTTGATATGGCTTTTAGTACATCCATATGCATGTATACAAAGATAGATATATAGATATATCAGCATTATTACTTAAAATGAAATGGCTCCCAGATCTGTGCTAAACTTTCTGTTAGTCATGGAAAACATTCAGCATGAATCCCAGTTTACTTTTTCAATTATTTAATCTTCATTAACTCTTCATTTGTGATATCCACTAACACAGCTGAATTTGTTGCAAGTGTTCTACAATCTTACTCCCTTACTCATTAGAAACATTATGCAGCCCAGGGTACCAGTACCACTACTAGGAGAGTACTACTCCAAAGAGAGCAAAACTTACATGTTCTGACAAGACAAAAGATTTAATCAATGATAAAATAATGTAACTTTTGATGTTAAGATTTTTGAAATCATACACATCATTGCTCTTTTCTGAGAAAATTACAGTTTGAAGATGAAGAATAGCAAAATACATCCTGCTAGGACAGAAAGATATTTGATATTTTAGATTAACTATAAAACTAATTACTTTGACAGAACATTGCTTTTTTCCAAAAAAAGGTTTGTCATTAAAAAAAAATCTTTACTCAAATCACTTCCAGTTTTGAAGTTTTAGTTACCGCCATTATACTGTGTGGATGCTTATAAAATACAACTGTAGAATGAAGTTCTGAAGCAGTCACTGAATGGGACTGTAAGATGAACAAATATCATATCAAAAAGAAAACATGAGCCTACAGAAAAAGGGGTTACTAGAGGCATATCTTTAAAAAGTGAAAATTTAAAATATAAGCTGAAGTTGTTTTCAGATTGTTGCAATCTGTAATGGATCCAGATGGTCTTTTCAATAACAGAACTGCTCACCATCAAGGCTTAACAAAATACACACCTGTAATACATTGTGTTCTGCTTCTTCTCCAGTTATAACTTCAACTTTATCTAACAGAATTTTCTCCACTGGCTTGGAAATACAAGCAGCTGCTGATTCAATTAGTGTTGCATTCCTCAGCAAAGCTGTTTCTGTAGGGA